ATATAGCGTATATTAACAGGACGTCATCAACATGCAGGCCAAAAAGAGACAGTTGGTCATCCTAATGTGCAGTAGTGTTTAGGCTCATTAACAATACTGTTGTCTTAATCAATGCTGACCCATTATGACACAAAAGCAATTGCCTAGTTATTCGGTTGAAACGGTTCGCTGCCAGCGGTCCAAATATAACATTATGACATCGGTTACGTACGCATCATGGGCGAAGTGTGAAAGAAACTGCTCACACATAGCGAAGGCCGCAATAGCTTTAAATTTTCGCTGTCAATCTCTTTCACCGGATGTTTCAGGGTAAAGGATTCGTGTTGGAGACGAACCATAAGGCATTAAGATCCATTTTCGGTTCAAAAAGTGTGTACTTGTGTACACGGCGAATCGTCTCTAGGGTTGGAAGACACTGTTGGCCGAATCTAATTATAGGATAGCTCATGTGCCTACGGCACGCTTCAGCTACGTCGCTGCGCTTTTTCGAATTTTCGCGCTTCTTGCAAGTCAGAGGCACGTACTTCCGTTGCCCGTATGGTGTTAACCTCGTGTTTGCCAAGTAATTCAACTATGATTACGGCCGTTCATCTTAATATCATGGTTCGCCAGTGGTAAGAGAACTGTCGCTTACAAAGTACGTAGAAGCTACAAGATAGAGATGTTTTCACAACCGATTATCGTTGGCCACTTCGGCACTGCACAAACTTGTTGTTGGTGTAAGCAAGATATTCGTATTAGGAAGAAATGCTAAAACAACCATTCGGCTATTGGAACATTCCTGTGGAGTTTCCTCACCGCCATCTATCCACCGTCTACTGTCCAACATGGTCCCAAACTCGACCCGTTGAGGCTGAAAACCCTCAGGGTCTACAGTAGACAATATCGACGCATGCGTGGGGAATTGATGATGACTTATATGATCCTGAGGGATCCAAACCATTCTTCTCGTCACCTACTAAAGCTGAATCGCAATACCACACTAGGAGGACACCAATCTTAACAGACCACAGATAGACATCCATAAAATCGCTTGATGTGCGTGTTATCGTGCCAAAACGTGGTTGTGTTTTTCCAATTCTTCAACCTCGCGCGCATCTTTCGCATCGGCATTACAAACATTTCCCACTGCGTGCATGATTTCGATCTCATTTACTCTTGCTCAGTGATCAACCTTGGTAGTACCAATTGCATCCGCGGCTTCAGTATGATTACCCGCCATTCATTTTTGCCATTTCAATAATGGGAGTAATTTCGATGAATTTACACTTGGTTTTGAACTTGGTTTGAACTGTACTAAAAACCATGCACCCTGTCACATACCACCCGGGGCGGACCCCAACCCCCAACCTCTATGCTTTGCCTCTGCCTAACGCAGTATACAGTGTTATCCAGATAAGTAACGCACATATAGCATAGAAGTGCCAAATGACCAATCGAATGTACACAGAAGACCCAACAAATCAACAGCTGCGGTGGAAGGAAGGAGAAGTAGTTAGACTCTAGAAAACAAGTTACTAACAGATATGCCAGAATATGCAACAAGATACTGACTTATAATCGTGCTAAGGATTCGGAATACAGCTCTCACAGTAAGCACAACTGCTTTCTAACTGTTCAAAGTGCTAACATTTGTCTGTTTTGAAAACAGATAAGTCTGGTTTAGATCCTGTCGTATTCCGAACACATGGATCAACTGATGTGGCACCTATTTGCATGCAACCCATCGGCATTATGAATATACACCATGTGTCGACCCACCGCATTTAACGCAATCGACGCCAAAAGCGAACAAACACACATGCAGTGTCAAGCTTATCATGTGGGAGTACATTATTCGCCAAGCTAGCAATGTGGGGCATTCCAGAAGCGCGGTCTAATAAGAAAATGGAGGCTGTATCGAATAAAATGGCCGCTGGGAACGCTGAATGAAGACACGAATCATGCACAGTGACATCGAGAGCATAGTGCTTACGGTGAGGATCGCTGAATGAAATGCTAGTCAAATTCGGTCAAAACCAAACCCATTTGATGGCATATTAACCTAACTCATTGTGCGTTACTCACCTGTAGAAATGGATGGCTGGCTTGTGGTCTGTGGCTCGGTACTGGTTGACGAAGTTGTGACCGTAGTTGTGTCGGGCAGATTTGATGTCGTTTCGGAGCTCGTGAATGTGTATATTGCTGTGGTTAGGGGTGAGTGGAAATGAGATCATCTGGTTAACGGCCAATTCATGACGTTATAGGAAGATAGCAGATTGACAGCTCATCATGCAAACGGTTTTTGACGGATTCATTAACTGTTGACTTCGTGCTTCATCGCCATCTAATCTTGAGTAGACCAGGGCTCGTATCGTTAATATTCGCTGTCTTCCTTGATTTTGTGGATCCCTGTGATACGCCCCGCACCCAAGCCCCATTTGTTTATCCAACGTGTTGAGACATTCTGCTCGTCTTATCTTACTTTCCAATAGAACAGTGGCTTTGGACGAGAAAAGCGCATTGGCTTAATATGCACTGTACGATCGTAATTGAGGGAACTGCGAATTCTAATAGTGCACAAGATGCCGAAATATAATGTGTATCAGTGAATTGATAGATTGATTGCGTAAACAAGTACGGTCGTACATGTTAATGCGGGGCCATATGTATTCGGTCACTTGGACTACGGTCCGCACCGTATGGCACGGATAGGTGTCGGCAAGTTTAGTAAGGATTATTGTTCGATACGTAGCAGAAAGGGCAACATTTGAAAGTAAGCCGATAGGTGAGTATTGCTATATTGCTGTGGATATCGAAAAACCTGTTTGCCTATTTTTTGTTGTTTCCCGCACACCATCGTCTACTCCTGAGATGGACTGCAACTTGGAGACCGCGTTGAATCACGACATAAACAGAAAGGGCAGGCACATTCTAGTCACCGGTGACTTTAACTTATATGCTATAGAATCCCAGGCCACACCAGGAGAGCAATTCAAAGCAGACCTGCGAGATCTGGTTTCAGACTTCCCGCTTTAATGCCACGTCACTACGCCCACCAGATTCATGGGAAGTAACAGGCCACCCATATTGGACCGAATATTCACCAATGAAGAACCGATGAACGTGAGAGTGATAACCGATACTCCTCTGGGTCGCAGCGATCGTGTGCCCATTAGTGTTCCATTACATGTGCTACGCGGATTACCTTAAAGTGCCTACCGAGGAATATCATTTCGTAATCAACTATGTCGACCTGTCCGACCTCATTGATGCAACAAGCTGGTCGCTCTTAGTCGAATTAACCCCTGAAGTGGCCTGCGGAGAATTTTTCAACATACTTATGCTCGGGGCAAGCACATCTGGAGCCAAACTCTACCGGCCTTAAAGGATGAAGTCTTTCTAAGGAGCAAGATACATAAAGGCGTGGCATATAGGGACTTGGCATGGTGAACCTACATAGCCTCCCAGAACGACGACACCTGGGATGTCTACACAATACAAAGGAACCACTGTGTCAAACTCGTCCGGAAGGATAAACTGAAGAACCAACAAGGTCCATTGGAAAAGTTTTGCTCCAATCTCAAACTGCTATACAGACACGTAAACAGTTTGCGCCGTATTAAGCGCAGTATTCCTGCTCTGCACACAGCATGCGGGTTAGCCCAAACTGCACAAGTGGCGGTCATCTTTCTTAGACAACAACCTGGCCGTACCTTCCAAAGCGTGCAATCATTATACATACTGCCTAAACAGATAATGTCGCCATCAGGGCATAATCACATATCGTTTACCTCCGCAGCTGTGCTGAAGAGGCTGATATCTCTGCGAGAGTTCAGCTCCCCGGGTGCGGACGGCATTCGTCCGAAGGCGTAGAAATTTGCCGCCATGAGTTCGGCGGCGCCACTAGTAATTTTTTTTCAACAATGTCTGAATGTCAATAAAGCAAGAAGAAACAAAATTACAGAAAGTATTTACTGAATTCAGTAATTTCGCGTTTTCTCCTCAGCTGTTTACATACAATGGTTGGAAAACAGTGCGATGTTAACAGCAAAAATGTCTGAATAAGATGCACGTCCCCACGATGTGGAAGCACGGAATCAGCACACCAATCTACAAAAGTGGCAGCCGTGCTGAACCAGCAAATTATCGCCCGATAACACTACTTCCTGTGATCTCCAAGTTTAAGGAGTCCATTGTAGCTGAGGCTTTGATGAGATAGCTGGAGAACAACAAAATTCTCGTTCCGGAACAGCACGGATTTCGCCAATATCGGCGCTGTACCACTAATCTGTTGATTACTCGTGCAAGCGGGACGGAATCTGTGGACGCTGGTGTAGGAGTCGCCGCGCCCTGGGTGAATGTGTGGTTTTTCAGATCATCCTGAATGCTAGATCATAGAAATATTCACAAATACGTCAACTTAGAATATCACAGATGAAAGCTGCAGCCATATTTTAGTATATGGTCATTTTGTTGACAACGCTATCCATGATTTCGCCGGCACATATAGCAATCGTTTTTCAGGAGCGATATTTCCAAGCGAAATCTACCAAATCTAGATGTCAATCTCTAATCCTTGGGAGAAAATTCACGTTGCTTTATCTGGTACAGTGAAACACCAATGCTTTGTATTTGGTTGATGCTATAGCAACTAGCCGGATCTAAACATGAAGACCACAAACAAGACAGAGGCCACTGTACGAAAACTGCAACAGTTATGTGCACAGTTTGGTACGCAAATTTTTAGACGTATTTGTTGGTTTCTGTCAGCGTAATGGCAGAAAGCACTGTCGGCCGCCTCTGGGGCATCCCCAATCCAACGGGCAAGCAGAAAGATTCGTGGATACATTCAAACGTTCCGTTCTAACACTGTGTGGGGAAGGACCGGCAGAAGATATCATACAGCTTTTCCTGTTAACTTATCAGGATCCACCTACTCCCGCTGAACCAAGCGGCAGATCCCCAGCGGAAGCCATGCTCGGGTGTGAGATACGTCTTCTAATTGATGCAACGCACCCAAAGCTAATGCAATGGCCCCGCGCGTCAGGTGTCAGAAGAAGTGTTCTACCAAGGGAGCTGGTGGATGTGTTGGATACAAGGTCGAATCATTAAACAAGTTAAGAAAAAGTAAAGGCATGCGATTTGTCTTTCGGAAGGCTGTCTTTCGTTCGGCACGTTAATCAGTGACGTAAGAGACGGATCGGACACACAATTTCATCTACTATAGACTTGTCGTTCTATGTGCTGCTGGACACTTTTGAAACATCAGAAACTTTGGAGCTCAGTGAGCCGACGGAAGGGCGTACAGGACCATCCCACGGAGTCACTCGGAGACCAATGACTAGACGTTCACTGAGGAGCGTCGCACCTCATTCGTACGAGTCTGGAGAGCACGTTCTCGAAGGGGAAATGTTGCGCCAGGCAATCCGGTGTCTTGCAAGTACAATCTCGTCCCACACGCCTGACCATGAATGTGGTGAAGTTCAAGTACTTCTCAGCTCCGGTTCATATGACTGATGCCATCGACAATGCGACACGGCCCGTCTAACTCAGCATATCATTTTACCCTATATTGTCGGCTGTCTTATCTATTTCCCGCGACTTACCATCTGGTCAACACACTGTCCAATGCGTTGTAAACTCTTTGTTTTGACGGCTCTACCCCCGCTTAACCGCGGTTATAGCACATTTCGATAGGTCCAAGTACGAACGCTTAGATGCCATACTGCTGTTTGTAATGCAAGCGCTCGAACGCCTTTGAAACCTTTCAGTAGGTAACATCGGTTCCTGCCCATTCGTCGACTGTTTCGGTCCAATGGTTACGTGCTATCAGTAGCTTTGCGGTACTTGATCGCTGCTCCGACGTTGCTCTGATGCGATACCTGTTCAGGTAACCCATCGGTGCGTGTGCGATGATTGCCTCCATGCCGTTTTCGAAAACAGGGAGAAGGGTTATTGGGTGGTAATTGGCAAGGTCATTACGGATTCCTCCCTTAGGTTTAAGTGTGATAATTCCACGCGTCAAATTTGGCAGAACTGCGTTCTCATCCTGACAGCGTTGAAAGAAAATAGCTGAACGCTGAGCTTGCAAACATTGTCCGACTCTCTCGCTGTACGAGTATATTCACCAACCATATGAAGTGGTGGGACTCCGCGTGCAACTAACAAATTCTCTTAACGTGCGTACAAAGAGCCTTGTGGTTTGAACGGAATCGATTCACTCGCTCGTGCTGTTGTATCAACTTGTCGCTACGAACTAACTGCCCACAGTGGTTGCACTGAGCTACGTAAGCTGTCCAATTTTCCGGGCTGTGATTGTCTTTTGTAAACGTGCCATGTCTGATCAAGCAACTCCATATATTTTCGTGTTCTGATGCTTAAAATATGAGGGGACGAAAGAAAGCTTTTGGTTCCGATGTTCTTGCAACTAGTGCCGTGAAGGTTTTCAAGTTAAATATCTAAATTCGTCCACTATGTCATACTCTGAATGAGTTACCACATGGAACGTTGCAGTGGTGTTTGGGTCCTCGGCAAAGCTGTGCGTCATCGAATGTCAAACAAGCTCTAGCCACTTACCAATGTTACTTATTTATGATCTTGGAAACCCCTCGTTCTTCAATGTGACGTATCAGCTTGGAATGTGAATGCTATCCTATGTCATAGCATGAATATACAAACGTTGTGCCCCATAGCGTTTGCATCATATACTCTGCAACTAGTGGAACGAAACTATTCATAGCTAAACAGGGAAGCCCTTTCTGTAATCTTCGGTGTGAAAAGGTTCCATCAGTAGCTCTGTCATTATTTTTGCACTTCACGCAGATCAGATGCCATTGATATCATTGGTAAGAGAAACCAAATGTATGCAACAAATGTCCTCACCACGAATGCAGAGATGGGCTGTGACGCTGAGCACATACAGTTACAAAATTACCTACATTTTTGGTACCAGCAATCGCAAAGCGGATGCCCTGAGCCATCTACCATTAGAAAGGTACGACATATGTGCCTGATTCACCCTGCGAATTGGTTCACCTAATGCAACATCTAGATCAAACGCATCTACGAAGATGTAGAATCCATCAGTGGACATATCGAGACTCAGTTCTTTCAACATTCCATTCTTAACAAACAGATGAACAGATGAAGGAACTATCGATGTACAACAAGTTATAGCATGGTAAAATGCCCTGAGCTTCTTC